ACACAGACACAGGCTTAGCTGTTTGCCCCTCTTTATTCACAGCAATTATAATCCTGTTGGTTGAAAGCCCAGACATGACTGACAAGACATTGGCAGCAACCCAGACTCCAACAGACATGGGAACACAAGGCAGACCAGACAAGGAGTTCTACGGATTACTACAGATGGTTGTGTCCTGCAAAAGGACTCCTCCCAAAGTCTCTTCTTATATACTCTCTTGGGAGGGGCCAAGCCACAACCATCTGGGCTTGATTATCTCTTATGAGTCTGTCTCCGTAACTGCTGCCTCCGTTTCTCCGTGACGCCATGAAGGGCGTCGTCCATGTGGAGGTATGCTGCGAGTTGTTAAATGCAAACTCCACCACGGCCAGGTACTCCACCGAGTTGTTCTGCTGCTGATTCACGAAGCAGCGCAGGTACTGTTCCAAGATCCCAATCACCTTCTCCGCCCCCCCCCCGTCAGTTTCAGGATGGTGCGCTGAGGAGAAACAAACCTGGACAACTAGAGCCTCCATCAGCCCTTTCCAGAACTGGGCTGTGAATTGTGTCCCACTGTCCAACATGACCCGGTTGGGTAGGCCGTGCAGCTGGAAGACATGCTGGATGAACATGCAAGCAGTGGCGCAGGCTTTCAGCATTCTCTGACAGGGGATGAAATGCACCATTTTTGTGAACATGTCCACCACCATGAGGACCATGGTAAACCCCGAAGATAGAGGCAGTTCTGTCAGGAAGTCCATGGACATGGCACCCCAGGGCCTGTCCGAGGTTGGCAATGGCTGAAGCAGGCCTGGAGGAGCTCCCGTCACTGACTTGGCCTGCCAACACTGTACACAAGAGGTGACATATATCTGCATGTCATGTCATAAGTGGGGCCACCAGAAAGTACGGGAGACCAGGTTCAACATCTTGAAAAGGCCAAAATGTCCCGCCACCAGATTGCCATGATACTGGGAGAGAATAAGTCCATGGAGGGGCCCCGCGGGCACATAGAGCCAGTCCCGGTACCTCAAGAGGTCATCGTCGAATGTCCACGGGGAGGCTAGCCATACCTCTGCCTTCCTTTGCTCCACCCACTCGTCGCACCACTGCACATCCCGTATCTCAGACTGTAAGTTCATGGGCTCATGAACTACAGCGAAGGATTCGATGGGCAAAACTGTCTAGGGTGGAAGCGAGTCTGCAGTGTCAAGAGTACTCCAGTTTCCAGGACAGGGCATCCGCCCTTTGGTTTTGCGCACTCAGAATGTAGGTCATTCTGAAGTTGAACCGGGTAAAGNAACTTGGCAGGCTGGATTGCTGCCAGAGTTTGTTTGCATTGCTGCCATGGTTTATCGGACTAGCTGCCAAAGTCCTTATCGGTTTGTTTATTTGGCTTTCAGCCACTGAGAGTCTGGACTTGCTAATTAAAGGACATTCCATTTTACGCTTGTCTCGGCTTTCGTTACTGAACGGAGGAGGGGGTCAGAACAGTTACCATAGTATATTAAAAAGATGTAGAGACTCTAGAAAGAGTGTAGAGAAGAGCAACAAAGATGATTAGGAGACTGGAGGCTAAAACATACAAATAATAGTTGCTGGAATCCTGGTATGTCTAGTTTGATGAAAAGAAGGGGTAGGGGTGATATCCAATATGTGAGGGGCTGCCACAAAGAAAAGGGGGGGATGTCTACATACTCTCCAAAGCATCTAAAGGGAGGATAAAAAGCAATGAATGGAAACTAGGAGAGAATCAGCCTAGAACTGAGGAGAAATTTCGTGAATGTTAGAACAATTAATCAGTGGAACGACTTGCCTCCAGAAATTGTGGGTGCTCCAACACTGGAAGTTTTTAAGAAGTGATTTTAGGACATTCATTTTTTTAAACTTTCAATGCGTTCAAATCTCAGGGCTAGGGAGAAATCAATTTAGTTCTAGGGTCTTGAATGAAATAGACTAATTTATTTGGGTAACTTTCTTAAGATGGATGTGTGCTCCATATGTTATACACTTTTAATGGAGGAACACTACCATAATTAGCAAGTGTGGGATGAAGGACAAGCTACTGCAGTAGTCATGAAGCTGGATGGGAAAGGGCATTTGAGGAGGGCTCATCAACCATTCCTCTTGAAATGACTATGGACTATTGAATTTGGTCACAATGTTTTGCTCTGGGTTCTATATAAACCAATATTTGTATTGATGACTTGCTGATAGTCTGGCGTGGCCTGGGTATTTATTTCTAGTGGGAAAATGTCCAGACTAAACATAATTTCTTGTTGTGGACCAGCAGGAGGCGTTGGAGCTGCAAACAGACTCCGATAGCGAGGGACCCTATGAGTCGGCTCTGGAAGATGTGGAGGACCCGGGACAGAGTTCAGACTCCAAGCAGGGATCAGAGAGGTTGGTTGGCCACCAGGAGGTACCTGAGGCATGGAGCAGTGGTGAAAGCCAAAGGGAGTTTGTCCCTGACATCAGGCCTGGAGCAGTGGGGAGGAGCTAAGGGAGTTGATCCCGGACGCCAGGCAAAGACGGGCAGATAAGCACCGACAGCAACTACAGAGATACAGAAGATAATTGGGGCCAGGTGGTTGTGATTAGACTCCTCCCAAGGGAGTAGATAAGAAGAGACTTTGGGAGGTGGCTTTTTGCAGGACACAACTATTATACTAAAGCTGGAGAAGCTCTTGTGTATATTTCTTATCTGGGGAAGTCTGGGTTGCTGCCAAAGTCTTGTCGGTGTGTTAATTTACTGTGAATAAATTGCCTAGCAGTAATCTTGTGCCACGTGACTCATCGTATGGAGGGGGGGGGGGTCAGAACAATTTCTAATGTTGGATTTTCCCCCTTGCCAGAGGGAGCCCCCTTGTGGAGTACTGTGAAGCCGTTACCATGGCAATTCCACTGCGCTATACAGTAGAAACCATTTTGCAGCAGAAGCCATTTAAAGGCACAGCAGGCTGCATCTTAACAGAACACATATACACCCCAAAGCAGTGGTGGGTTCCTACTGGTTCGACCCGGGTCAGCCGAACTGGTAGTGGTTTTGCAGCCTGGGTTGCTGGAACGGGCAGCGCCCAGGGCCTGCCACGCCACTGAACTGGTTCTCCTGGCGCTGCCATAGGCACCACCATTTTGTTTTTTGCTTCTGCACATGTGCAGAGCAGTTTTTATTGCACTGCACATCTGTGCACAGCACGCATCAAGTGCACACATCAAGCGTGCGCACAGGGCCATGAGCAAACTAGAAATAGTGACTATCAGAACCCACTCCTGCCCCAAAGGGTGTTAGGGTTGTCTTACCCCCACAGTACTAAAGTAGAATAAAATATGGATTAAAAATATAAGAATGAAGACATGGCATAAAAAGGATAGTTAGAAGCTTGCTTAAAGGAAACGTCATCAGCCTCAAACCACAAGATGTTCTAGCCAATGCCCCTATGTCAAAAGTCCAAACCACAAGGTTCAGATAAAGTTTGTTAATGACACGTTGTCCATACCTGTAACAAAAGGAGAAGTAAGACTCCTTATAAGGCTTTCCCCCCAAAATAACCAATAAGAAATGCGTTAAGTATTTCCATGTTGCAATGCTTTTGAGAATGTATAAGAACCCGTCCTGTGAT